TATATATATATATATATAAATAATCTTTTAGAGGTACCCAAATATTCTTGGGAGGGCTAGATTAAACAACAGAGTGGGCTGTATGTGAGCCATGGGCCATATTTTGCCCACGCCGGGGTCGAGGATGTTTCGGTTCGTGTTCCATAAAGGGGTGAGTGTCAGTGAGGTCATACAAAGTAATTCCAAATTCAAACAAACTAGTCATGTAAAATACCCCTCCAAAGTCAGAGATTTTCTCACAAGACTTCAGTTCAACAAGCCTCAAAGGAATACTTGAATACGCTTGTATGACAATATGAAATGAGATAATTGGAAGTCGACCAACATCCAGGAACTGGAATGCATTTTGAGCCTTTGAGGCTCCACTATATTTCATTCCACACACCAGATATCGGGTGTCGTTCCACACCTGCGGCATGATGGCGCAAAACACACAGAGAAACACATGCCTGTCATTCCTCTGCAGCGAAAAGAGCAATTTTAGAACATGAAATGCTAAACCACTGTTAAGGCGGACACTACTGAGGACTTCAACAGTGATCTCATCTGTGGCACGTTATGCTTCGGGACAATTCTGAATGAAGAGCAAAACATCTTCAGCTACCCCCTTGGTACACTGTTCAAATAAAAGTAACCAAACTCTCTGACATGACCTCAGAGACCAGTGAGAATGACAATTGCACCAACACAAAGAAGACATGTCGAGCTTGTTAACTGCTTGATGTGAACATCTACTTATTGGGAATATATTTCAACTGGTAGTCGACGGTTCTAGTCATTCTATACAAACAGATTCCGTTTGTCTGCATTTTCTGGTTCCTAATCCAATGTCAGTTCGATGACATTGCGGGTTGCAGCGGCCGACTCACCCAATCTGTCTGTTGGTGGATGGTGCCTGAGTGATGACGGAGCTGGACTGAGGAGAGGGGAGAGCCTGCTGGATCACGATGCTGGTGTCGTGGTTGCCCATTCTCGAGTGGGCCTGCTGGTGTTGGCCCCCCTGGCCGTGCAGAGAGATATTCTGAAAAGGCAATTAGGAAAGACAACAAGTTTAGTATTCAGGGAAAATGATCACAATGCTCTAAAACAGGGAAAGCAAGCCGCCAGTTGTCCATCCCTACTTGAAGAACTTGGCTCGTTTTGCCCTGCCTTTAGCACGTGGGCATAGAAATAAGTGTGCAAACCAATTGTGCCCCCCAAAAACTGTATTTGCAATTCATTTAGCACACCCAATGAGATTTCTCAAACTTGAGACGAATTGATTTGGCTGATTTTGCGTCTAAAATGCTGGTGCAGACGGACCAGTTGTGCGTCGCCATGACGAGGACGCACAGGCAAAATGAGAGGGCATGGGGAAAATGGATCTTTTCCGCTTGTGTTACCATTTTTAAAATCCCAGAAAGCAAAATTATCATGACACATTACTGATGCAATTTCGGAGCTTCTGAATGATCTAAATTTGTAAGAAGTGATTTGTTGCCAGTCACTAATGACAAACCTCCTTTCCCCTCAGCATGACTTTGCATCAGCGTCATTTCAGTGCATTGTGACAATTATCTGGTGCCGGCCTCTCCCACAGCTGTTTTTCAGGCAATTTTCAACTTGGGAAAAGTGAAATCAAACAAAAAAAGGCTACTGGTTTTGCCTAAACGATCGGAGTGACACATTTCTTTTCTATGATTCGGTAATATGTTTGTTTGCCTTCCACTAACAACATTTCAAACTTCATTTTTGTGCTCACAGCGCTCTCACACCGTTCCACAGTGAATGCCATCAGCGCTACCTAATGTGCAAAAGCCCCTTTTAAATATGGCGGTTTTAGCTACTTTGACACCAGTTGCCAACAGCACATGCAATCTGTTAAGAGTGAGTGAACACACAATTTAGCGCCTGTTGTTTGGAATCAGTCGGCCCTTGATGCAGTCATTGAAATATTTACAAACTCCTGAATTCAAACCATCGACAAATCATATTTGAATTGTATTTTAATATACGGTGTCATCCATATGTATTGCATTAGAATCTGACTGTCAATTAGGTACAGGTTACATGAAATCTGCATTTTTCTTTTCGCTTGCTGGGACTTGCTCCCCCACCTGCTGACTTGGCACAGACTCCCGTCATAAAACACGCAGACTGGTGAGGCTAGACGTGGTTCACCCGGACGCAGACAAACTCCAGAGTCAAAACACTTGGACAATATCCTCGGGTACAACTTGCACCACACAATTTTCCAGACAGGCAGATTAGATAAGAAGTCTTGTCTTGTGATGATGTGACAAGTAGCAATGCATCGTCTTCATCTGCTAAATCTACAAAGCATTCTGTAGGACGATATGTTTATTTTAAATGTACAAAGGACTCCCCTCAACATTGCTGCATATCTGCTTGGGTATTGTCAGCGCTGAGAAAGATGGACTCCCTCACAAGACTGAAGTTTTATTTGAAGTTACAGGTGGAGAACTCAATCTCTCATCACCTCACCTGTGCTGGATGACAAATCTCCACCTGCTAGGCCCGTCTGTCAATGTCAACACGGCCAATGAGGGGTCACAGACTGGGCCAGTAAGGTGAACAAAACAACACGCAAAAGGTGACATTTAGATTATACACACACCAAATTCCAATAAGTAGTGAACAGTAAAGCACCGTTTATCACAGGGAATTTGTTCCAGACCCACTCGCGGCAAGGTGAACATCCGTGACCCAAAAGGACGATCGAAAATGTGTTAGTTTGTCTGTTTTACCGCTGTCACATGCTTAAACGTCTTAAAACACGATACCAACGCATCGTAAGCATATTTGAATAGAGCCAAATAATGACAACCGAAATACAGTAGATATTGCAGTGTCTGTTTACATGCGTGTGGCGGGCCTGGAAAGGTCGGGTGTGACGTCGGCGAGTGTTTTACTGGTCACCTAGGGTGTGATAAACGGTTGAAAGGTGCATCGGCAACTGTGGCTATCCGTTCCCACATTTCAAGGCCTTGCAGTTAGTAAAAATACACCCAAAAAAACGATATCGTAAAATTTTTTTAAAAAAACACAATATGATGGTTACCCATTATTTTGTGTTTCTGCTGTCAAACTTTGTCAAGAGCAACAAAATAACTAATCCAGACCAAGCCATTTTTTTCGATAGGGTACGGTGGGGTCATGGTAGAGTTGAACGAGACAGATTGCAGTCAAGTGTTTGAGACAATGACAATGGATGGGAAAGAAGACAACAGGAGAATCAGCAGAATCAACTGATTGAGGCCCGATGACCCCATTGAGACCTTTAGATGCTGGAGGTCACTCAATCGAAGTTTAGAAATTAGCGAAGATTTGTCTGTGCCCTCCTCCGGATTTGCAATCCCATTTGAATGTCTACAGACATTGTAATTGCTTTGACTTGATGATGGGTTTGTGCTCGAACATGCAGTGTCAAGTGTAGGACCTTATAGAGACAGATGTGTACCTTTCCAAATCATCTCCAATCAAATGAATTTGCCACACAGGAACTCCAGTTCAGCTGTCGAAACATTTCAGTGATGATCAGTGGAAACAGGAAGCACCTGAGCTCAATTTTGAGATTCATGGCAAAGGCTATGAATGTAGATGTTTTTTTTTTCTTCGTTCTTAGCATTGTCATGGTCGGGTGTTGTGTGTACAATTCTGGAAAAAAAAACGTTACTTTAAAGAAGCTAGTGACACAAGATGTGGAAAGACTGAAGCGTTGCGAAAACCTTCTGGACGCACTGTTCTTTTCTAACCCACTGCTGTGAAGCGAACTGAACTCTACTGCTTGCGGTGGAAAAGTGATAGAATTGATGACTGCAGCAGATAGGAAGTCATCAGCACCTGACCTGACCCCTGTCGGAGAGCATGTGACTTCAGGTTCACCCGTTTTAACCCAAGGCTTCTATTCCCGCAGTACCTGTTTGGAGTCCTCTTCTTCCTGGGCCTTGCAAAACTCCTGCTCAATGGAGCAGTCGAGCTCGCTAAACAGTCCCACCTCCTCGCAGTTCTTCAGGAAGCGCGTCGGCGTTGGCGTCTGGTCTGCAGATCGAGCAACAAGTGCAAGCGTTATTATCACTTATTTTTTTCATTTGTTTATTCCTTGCGACTGCATTTTTTAAATTTCATTTTAGTTCTGTGATCTTTTATTGTATGAATGCCTTTTGTTGAACGTTTAACTTGATAAAACGCTACACCGTTTACTTCTGGGGTGACGTTATTTACATTTGCAGCATTCGCGTAACTCCTTGAAAAGCAAAAGGGTGGCTTAACTATAATGTGGTTGCTCTTATTTTTAGGAAAACATGACAACTTTGCAAGTTGATGGGGCGGGAGAGTCGCTTCTCTCGACAGCACCAGCGCAGCTGATAAAGTACAGAGCTCACCCACCATGCGGGGGTCTCATTTGTTGAGGGCACTCAAAAGCTGTGGTATTCAACTTGGCTTTGTGGGGCAGGAGGGGGGGGGGGGCACGAAGATCAGGTTTCAGACAGTTGAGACCGATTTTAGGATCAGGGTTGTTTCAAAGGCTAAAAGCATAGCTCAGAGTCTGTTTATCTACTTTCAGAAGACCAAGACTTGTTTGACTCTGACTAGCATGCTGGCTGACCTATGAACCCCCCCAAATAGTTTTTTTTTTTTTTTTGCCCAGCACATTTGTTTTGTTTTGTTTTGTTTTTTTCCTGGAGGCTAATAGTGCTTGAAAGAAAAATGGCGTTGAGTTGTTGATACGGCCTCTGACTAAATGATTTTGCAAGCAATAAATTAATAAATTACTTTTTCCACACAGTTCGTAACAGTTCATGCTCGTGATTTGGGAGAGACCCAAAGGAAGAAGCGCTTTCATTTCATGCACTTCTTGTGAAAAATAAGGCAAGCCTTGGAGGTGTAACCTGAGCAAAGAAAGCTAAATCTGATCTCGCAGTCGAGGAGGAAGGCTATAGATTTTGGGCTAAGGGATGACACATGTGGCGGACAGACTGTAATCCAAATTACTTTTTGCATCGTAGATTGACAGATGAAGTTAAGGCGAGGAAAATGAGACAATCAAGTTCATGTGCAACCAATTCTTGGTCCTCCATATGATAATAGTCATCCTCATTGTAATTAGAATAAATGTGAGCATGCATGGTTGTTTGCCCTCTATGTGCCCTGTGGTTGTAACATCTTAAGGCAAATTCGATTTGAGACTTTTAAGGCTCTTTAATTCCATTTGAAATGAAATATAAGATCAACTTCACAATGTTGCCAGTGTCTCATGTTGTCCAAAGTACATCAATGACAGGCATCTGCTTTTAAGAGTCGCATTATCGAGTGTCATTTGGTAAACAATTTTTTTTTTTTTTTTGAAGAATGATTTTTATTTTGAAATTTGAGGCTATTTGCGATCACACAATCCTCCGTTTCATGCGTCTACATTTTTAAGACTTTTGAAAGATTGAGTGAAGTACTTCTACTATCAGTGAAAGCCTTTTCTTTTTTACAAAGTAGATTCATGGATTCAAAGCCTTTCAAACCTTTTTTTTAAGATCCCTGCGAAACCCGAGAAATTGGATAGGTCGTAATAATGATGTCATAATAATCTACTTTAAGTTTAACAACATCGCTTTCCAAAACTCTGCCTTTGAGAGGCAATTTTAAAAGATGGAGTAGACTAATCTAGTCATGAGAACGACTGTTCAAAATTATGCCCCCCCCCACACACACACATACAGTTGTCTAAACAGCGTGTAACATGGAGAAAGTTCTTCTTGCCTTTTCATTTTTATTGAAATGAATCTTTGCATGCTTCTAGCAAACCCACAGAAGCACAAAAAGAACACGCAAATCCCCACATCGCAAAAGCCAAAAGAACCTCTCCACTGTGAGGGCTGCATTCTTGTTACTATCACAGTCTTCTTATTTTATCACTTTCGTTATTATTTGGGACCTTTCATTATTGTTGTCTTGCGCATATCCTTATGCTAGTAGGGAAATCAAAGACAGAGCACTTTCTGTCACAAATCAGTTTCACAAGTGCCTTCCCATAAATTTGCATGTCATCTTTTGCTTCAAAACCTGACCAGAAAAATCAACCTTAATGATGGCCGAATGCAAATCAACCCAGCGCGAAGACATTCACTGAACAGAATTGTCTCAGACATGTCAGCACGTCTTCAGCCAGCCGCGTGCGTGTCACCTGGCTGTAAACAAGGCACAGCGTGAAGATTAAAGGCGGCCGGCAAGCCGTAACTCACCTGATAACAAGTTGTCATTCTTTATAGAAGGAAACTTGAGGGTCATCTCATGTTTGTGTCGATGTATCATCAGATGGTCTTCAGTGGGGAAGCGCTGTACAGAAAGATGTTTAAAAACACAGATGACTCAAACGCATCTCCACTTTTTTTTTGTGAATACAAGTGGTACCTCTTACTTATGAACGTCTCTTCATACGAAATTTTCAAGTGACGAAACGCCTGAACAGGAAAATATTGCCTCTTGTTACAAAAGAAATTTCAAGATACGAACAGTAAAAATACAGTATGGAATGCTACTCGCAGCTCCGAGTTTCCAGAATGCAACATAATTAAAGCTGCTCTGCCATTGGCTATTACCAAGCATCTTCCTGGCATCCCATTGGCTAAGAGGGACCCCTACCGCAGTGTGTCAAGTTGTCAACTCTCATTTATTGTCAATAATCAAATTGTAACATGTATTTGTTACATATTTTGATGCATTTTTATGCTTTAGAAAACATTTATGTCTGAATTTTGGGGAGGCTTGGAACGGATTAGGGCATTTACATGGAAAATGCGTCTCTACTTCCAAAATTTTCTAGTTAAAAAATTTCTTCCCAAACCAATTGATTTCGTAAGTAGAGGTACCACTGTACAGCGAAAAACAAAAGTGCCAGAGGTCTTTTGACAGCCGTTCTTGTGTTCCTCCATGGTATGCGAGGCGGTAACCCCCACCTCATTCGACCTTTGTGTCCTCCTCTTCACATTACACCAATGAACACACATTTGTACATGCTGTGCGGTGTTGTTTTGTCGCGACACACTTACCTGAGAACAGCCAGGAGCGTTGCAAACATACGGCCTTTCCGGGTCTGAGTTCATCACAACTTCTCATAAAACTAAAAAAAAAAAAAAAGGATAAAAGAGGAAAATAAAAAGAGGAAGTAAGTGACACAGGTTTTCACTGCAGCATCCTACAGGGAAAAATACAGTCATTGTGTAGCGGAAAATTATATTGCACCTGTAGCAGCTGCAAGGTAATTTCAGTCATAAACGACGTCTGCTCACGTTTCACTTTAAATTATATTAATGTAATGGGCTGTGGTTTCTGAAAACGATGGATTTAACAAAATCTCCTCTTGGGACACCTGACAAACAAAGCTTGTACAGAATTTGGAGGCAGACCACATCTGCTGGCCAAAAGTTTGGAGGAAAATTGTTTTCACCTCAATTGTTTCTGTAATTTTGCAATTAGGGAAAAACGAGACAAATTGGTTAAGACACTCAAATGTTACACTTGAATCTCATTTTAGGTTTTGGGGATTATAACCTCAAGTTTCATCACTAAGAAGTCATTAGAGGTCTTATGACGGTAAGAACAAAAAAGCCGAGATGTGGCAGAGCAGCACAGCATGAGAAAGCATAAAATTTAGCTGCTCACGTTAGTCAACAACTGGCAAGTTGCCTTTCAGCGACGTCACTTGTTATCATAATTGGAGAATTGTATTGATGTGGGATTTAAGGTTAACATTTTTAAACATGAGTGCTTTCAGAGTGTTTTATTGTTTATTTTTTTGGCAGAAGAGCAATGTGGTGAAAAACAAACAAGGAAAAAGTCCGCCATGGCATCCAGCGAATGAGCCAGAGCTTCGGGCTGGCCTGGTCGCTTGAGATCGCCTCATTGTCAGCTGTGAGTGTACACGTCGGTGAGAGAATGCGAAAGAGTCAACGGATGGAAACAAAAGTCAGACGTGACAGCCAGTGTGTGGACAGGGTTTTCGTGCTGGCGTGGCCACTTTAGAGTGCCCCGTTGTCACGGTATGGAAAATACCCACTGTGCCCCGTGGGGTATATATCAGATACTGGAGGCCTTAAGCAGATATATCTTATGGTTATGTGTAGGCAGAACAAAGATGCTAGAGAAAACAGCATCCGATTTCAAATGTTGTGGAGAGGGTGTTTGATTGACAGCTGACAACTGAGCGGGGATTGGTTTCAACATATTCAGCAAACATGCTCATAGCATTTGATAGTGGAAAGAAGAGCTTGATTTCCCATAATTTAAAAGCCTCACATTATATACTTGGCCTTTTTTTTTTTTTTTTTTTAATCATTCCAATTATTCAAATCTAGAAGATATTTTCCCTTTGCAGAATCTTTAATAATTACAGCGGTTAACTTCTTTTTACACTTTTATGACAGACATTAAAATTTGACTGAAAGCATTGGATGTACAGTTAATGGATTATATTATACAGTGGCATCTGGAACTAATTATTTCTGTTGGCATTATTTCCTGCGGGGAAAGTTGTTTTGAAATCAAAACAAACTGGAGGTTGAGCAGCTTTCCGGGATGGTGTGTCGTCAACCTTGAAGCTTCAGCTATATTGAAGCAGTGTAGTTCTTGAACAGCACATTCACACAATTCAGAGACACACTGTGAAGCACCTGGGGAGGAATTGGTAAAGTTTAATGCCTCGCTCAAGGGAACATTACTCACTCTGAGGCTTCCACATCCTTCGGCTGTTGGGAATTTAAGATGATAAAAAAAATTAAGACAGTAAAAATGTGATTTTTTTTTTAATTTATTTTTTTTGCCAGGTTCTGCCAAATGTAAAATGTGCGATACTGACGTCATGGCCATTCCAAGTACCACGCCACGCTTCAGTATTCATTTTATATTGTACTACGATTGAAAAAGTACCGTAATATATTGGTCGACAAACAAAGGGAGGGATTTTGGAAAAGAAGCATGTGTCATGTGTGCAATTTCAAAACTTTTAACTTGAAAACCTCACAGAGATTTATAGTTCTACAAATTCTGTGAATCTCTTTTCACTTACAGTAATTGGAATGTCGACATGGCCCCGACACAAAGTAGACATTCGGAATTCATCTAAAAAAGCATTCATGGTTGAGCATCAGAGGGGGAAAAAAACCCACATCAAAACATTTTAACGACTTCTCAAGATCGATCCAAGGCCGAATATGTGACGGTTTAAAGGCTCCGAGCCCCGAGTGCATTTAGGAAAATACAACCTTGACTCCGTATTGCAAAACTCCAAGCAGGGTGTTGAGTACCTGTCTCAGTCCAACATTTGATTAACCCGTCAAACACTCAACCTCGTTGACGAGATGAGCGCTTCGTGTAAGTCAAGGGCGTTTGGAAGATGAAGTGCAGTAAAGAGAATAGATTCTTGTACAGCTCAGAAGAGCCTGGATAGCTCAGTCGGTAGAGCATCAGACTTTTAATCTGAGGGTCCAGGGTTCAAGTCCTTGTTCAGGCGTAGCCTTTTCTAGGCAGGAGTGGCTCAGGAATTTGTCATCCATCGTTGGGTATTGCGCTTCAAAGCCAAATTGTGAGCAGGGCACAGTACACACGAGATGAAATCTTTTCCATATCATAATTAGCCTTTCGCTGATTTTACAAACCGAGAGTCAGCAGCAACTCGCGTTTCTTTTTCGGTCCTGCGTGGACTGTCACTGTTGGCTTTTCAATTGTAGGTCCATTTACGTGTCAATCAGAATTATCAGTACCGCATCATTGGTCACGTTGCCACTCAGTGTGTGTCGATCGCTACATGAAGCGGCAAGTATTTTTCGAAATGCAAATATTTTCTTGCAATCACTGAGTTGGTCGCTCTGGCTACTGAAATCAGGCCGTTTTGGAATACTTTCAGCATGCTGGAAAAAATGTCCAATTCTTGAATATAGCCTATTTATGAATTACAACACTGATTGTTTTGTAATGATGTACAACATCAAGGTTTGACGAGATTCTGTAGCTCAAAAACCAAATCGGAAACATGGTTCCTTCCCATGATGGAAACTTATTAAAAAAAAATTTTCAAAGATATGTACAGTGTTCCCTTTTCAACATGTCTAGGACACAAGAAATGTGACTGAAAAAGTCATTGACGAAGTAATTATTGATCATGAACCATTTTAAATATTTTACCCTGAGAATCTGTGACCCTGTTTTGGATCGAGCGCGAAGTTTAAGAAAGGTTGCGTTACCCTGCCACATAAATTATTCTTTACCATCATTCATAATGCCTTTGCACACCAGGACTAGAGTGTCATGCTGACTTTTCCTGCCTTATTGTCAACATGTATTGTTTTTTGTTTTGTTTTGTTTTTTGTTTTTTTTTGTCATGACACTAAAGTTCCGACTTTAATCCAACACATGTATCATGTAAAAGCAGCGGAATCATAGATGGCTACTTCTGAAACGTCAAATTCTTTGTATTGGTATTCCTCCAAAATAATATTAGGCAGTATGGGCTATTAAATACAATTTTCCCTATTAGTAAAACAAAATACAATTTCAGAAGATAAATACACTCAGGGTTGCTTCATTTGTGCATTTTGAAAGTCGACAATTCCCGTCATGTCTATGCTCCTTGTCAGCAGCACCTCTATGCCATTTCGCATTAAGCTAGCAGACTTCCGTTGTTTAATTTCTGGCTTTTCCTGGTGTGACAAAAGTGACCCAAAAAAAAAAAAAAAAAAATCAACTTAAACCAAAGCGTGTTTTTACCACTTATTTGGAAAGTTCTTTGCGATCTGTTGAACTGCACAAAGCCATTCTTATTCCACTTCTAACAAGACGCACATCAAAGCATCGCTGTACTTCTGAAGTACTGATGCAGCCTGCATCCCTACACCAGATGCAGGCGGTTATGTTTAATCTAATAATAGTAATACAATATATTTTTTTATTTCTATAGTGCTTTCGCAACAGCCAAGGTGCATGTGATTATCTGATCGGGGGATGCCGTGTAAAACGGCTTCTGTGACGGGTCTGATGTGGCAATTTTGCTACATCTCTTCATACAAGAAGCCATTGAAACACATGGGGTGCTATAAAAGACAGATGACTTACCCTGATTAATTCCTCCTTGATGCATTTCATATTTTGTCATTTATTCCGCGCAACACGTTTATGATTATTTTACCTTTGGGCAAGTTCAACTGGGCAGGAGATGTAAACTACTTAAATGTGTCTTTTTCATGGCGACAGACTTATTTCCTCAAGCACAGTCAAAACACTCAAATATTGTGTTATGCTAAGCAGTGCTGTTTTCCCAACAAGCTGTGCTTCATGAGCAAGCCAGCAGAACAAGGTCTGGACAGGGTCTCTCTGTCAGGGACCAACGAGGCCCTGCTCTGGCTTGCTGTCACCAGGTCGCTGTGGGCCCCTGAAAATTCAGCCGGTCCCCTTTGACACAACAAACAAAATATGAAGCCAGACTGGATGAAAAATGGCAAGTTTCACGCGCCTTTGGATTTGTCACTTGTTCTGTTTCTGCATCCTTCTTCAACAGGTTACATGTCGCTCCGGTTGCTGACGAAATAATCAACAAGAAAAATATATAACCACCTAGAAGAAAAATACGTCTTTCTGCATTTCAAATACGCCCTTCAGCGCATTTGTCAAGAAATTCAAACCATATGAGGTTAAAAAAAAAAAAAAGGTGGACATCATTAATTCTGTAAATGGCCCAATCACTTTCACACTTCTCATAATCAGTGCGAAATGTCCTTCCCTCAGAAAGGCCACTTGGCTCTAATTTGATAGAGATGTTTGAGTTCGGCGAAAGGAAATTTGGTTACGCTTTACATTAACTACAACCTGATGTGTGCGCAGGGGAAGAATTAAGGGCACGGAGTTCAATTTCAAGACGAAGTAAGGGAATGAATTCTCCAGTCGGAGCGCATATTTGAATTTTCAACAGCACATCAAGGGAATGAGTGGCTGGGGTGCAAAGGCGCACGGGGTTAAAGCAAGCGAAAACATGCACAGCAATTCAAACCTGCAGCTCCCCGCAGCCCGGGTCTTTGACAGCACAGGTTCAAGGTGGGATCATGACAATCCCCGAGGCAGGAAACATGGGCCACATACACACAATATCTATGCCCAACCTCAAGCTCCTCGACTGAACATGAAACAAAAACACTAAGTAAGCGTACACCTCAATAGTTGTCACTTTGCTGCTGTCTTCCTCTGCATGTAAAGTAACGCAAACTGCGATTACAACAGCCTTTTCTGACACTAATAATGTTCAGGCTTATGACATAAATAATGTCTCAATGTTCGTCTTTCTACGCCAGCAACGTATAGCGACAGGCAGACCAATTAAATGCTCTTCCACAAGATGTCTGAAGGTACATAATTAACCTGCGTATGCACTTTTGGAGACATTTTTGTTTGATTGCGTGCCAGTGGATTTTTTTTCCAATGCAAAAATATGCGCTTTGGCGAAAGAAAAGTTGGCAAGCACCGCTTTAAAGGATATTTGTTTATGACTGACGGAGCAAAACTGTCGACTGAACCGTGACTGATTTCATAGATTTGGGCCACAATTAGGAGAGGAGGGTTTCACCTTGAACACATGTAACAACCATCACGAAAGAAATGGAAGGGAAATGCAGATCACATTCCACGTGCAGCTGGATAATCAACAAGCTGCTTCGAAATATGGTAAAAATTAGGTCCGCATTCAGCACATAGGCATAGTTATCGACATAAGGAACATTTTCAATTCTTGAGACAGTCGTAATGAAGTGCTTTGGAAGGATGGAAGAAAAGGGTCTCTGCTTCGATCCCCCCGACCTAAGTTACCCTTCAACAAGACATTCACGTGCACCCGCGTTTAAAGCCAATTCTACTTAAAGTGCTGAAGAACATAATGTTGTTGTTGCTGCAATGTGTTATTTTGGCATTGTCTTGTGTCTCGTGATTTTGGGTGAGTTTGAAAGTCCCTCAAAAGTAAAGCAGAAGTCGTGCAAGACAGTAAAAATCTAATATTATTACTTCCACGTGACATAAAACATAATGTATGACATTAGCCTATGGAACACAGTTATTGACACAATGAAAAAAATGAAACACCATCAAGTTTATAATCCTGCAAGTGTCACTCGTTCAGTTCCCTCCACAATGAAAGACAAAAATAAAATAAAATCAAGTTATCCCTGTTACCACCAATTGCGTGTTTGCAGTGATGGATTTAAAACGGAGAACACACTTCAGGTAGAGTTTAGCCATGACAATAAAAGAAACATTATAGTCTTATGAAAAGTGCTGCTGTTATGTCCCTTAATACAAAGTAAATGCAATTAAGGCTAACAGTCACTCACAGCTTCTCTTTAACTGCGACCTGATTTTATAGGAGTATGCATATATGCAATGTCATCCGTAGCCCAAATGTAAGGAGTGCTGAATAAATAACAGCATCATCAAGCTTAAAGCTTTTATATGAGGCGTTTGATTGCTATAAATAATTCAAGGGGACACACTGGATAATGGTGAAAGCCTACATAATCATTTATCAACACTCACAGCAGCATGCGCTGGACACAAGTGGTTATTGATAGCGTGTCACATAAACATAATGACAGTGGGGAGTAATCAAATGATTGGAGCGTGTAGTTGTGTTTGTGTGTTTTTAAACCCCGTCAGCACAAGCTCGCGCAAAGTCAGACGAGACAATATCAAATGTCGACTTTGTTGCAAAATGACGTAATGATGTGAGCGAATGTAAGGCAACGACGAGCACGACCGCTTTGCTTGAAGTCGTTGTGAGAATAAAACACGAACAATCGAGGAGATATGCTTGATGTGGTGGGCTGCCTGCAGAGCGCGCAGCGTACACCAGCTCCTGCTGCCTATCCCGAGATGGGACAAGCGTGACAATGAAAGCCCCGGCATGACGAGTAAACTATCCGAAGGAATACAACCGGTGTTATCCGATGTAATGATCAACATAGTCTGCAATTATCTGGACTTAGATATTCAATCGAGCGTGCGATAAATTCTGTGGACTTCAAACTTAACGGTCAACACCCAAGTGACATGTCACTGCGGCCAGTACAGGAAGAGCATCGTGACACTTACTCGCCAGTGAAAAGAAATAACAAACAAAGCTTGTCACTTAAACGACAAGGCACGCTGTTGCATTCAACAGTAGCGAGGATGGCGTAAAATAGGCGTCCGGCGAAGCTACGAGGGGACACATGCGGCGTCCCCCTGCGAGGCTTTTCAACTTACCAAACAAGTGTCGAAAACGCGAAGCAGCCTCTCAGAAGAAACCACGTTGGACTGAGAAAAGATTACAATACGATCTATTTAGAGAAGCATAACGTCACCCCGGGGTGACGTCACGTGGGATTCCTGAAGTTCTAAATCATTGCGGTCCGCTTGGAGGCGGCGCGAGCTGGGCGGAGTTTGCAAGTGCACACACCAAGAGGATGGACCGACCGGGCGGTGGACTGCACAGGGCCGGAGTGGGTGTGGCGCAAAGATGGAGCTCCGGCCGGGACGGCCAATTAAGTAGACTGCAAATTGTGGCACTGGAACTTGACTAAGCATGCATTACGTTCTATAAAACGAGTAAAAATGACATTTCGCGATTTCAGGTGCTGTCACCGCACCTTCAAGATACACTCTTAAACTGCTGGGTGAAAAGTAAATCCAAGTGGTTGATATAGCTAACCCAGCACTGGGTGAAGATAACGAGCATTCATTTTCCATCCATCCATCCATTTTCTGATCCGCTTATCCTCACAAGGGTCGCGGAGGGTGCTGGAGTAGGCGGGGGACACCCTGAACCGGTTGCCAGCCAATCGCAGGGCACACAGAGACAAACAACCATCCACACTCACACTCACACCTAGGGACAATTTAGAGCGTTCAATCAGCCTGCCATGCATGTTTTTGGAATGTGGCAGGAAACCGGAGTACCCAGAGAAAACCCACGCAGGCCCGAGGAGAACATGCAAACGCCACTCAGGGAGGCCGGAGTTGGAATTGAACCAGGTACGTCTGCACTGTGAGGTCGATGCGCTAACCACTGGGCCGCCCGCATTCATTTTCTAAATCGTTTATCCTCACGAGGGTCACAGGCGTGCTGGAGCCTATCCCAGCTGTCTCAGGCGGCAGGCGGTGCAACCTGAACCAATCGCAGGGCACACATAGATCCCACCAGCCATTCGCGCTCACAATCACACGCAGGGACACTTTAGAATGTTCCATTCATCTGCCATGCATGTTTTTGGAATGTGGGAGGAAACCAGAGTACCCGGACAAAAGCCACGCAGGCACGGAGGAGAACATGCAAACTCCACACAGGTAGTAAATTGTCGGTAGGTTTTCATCTGCCTCCAATTGACTGGCGACCTGTCCAGGGTGCACGTCACCACAAGTTCAGTCATCTGAGATAGACCCCGGCTCACCTGTGACTCTATTGAGGACTACAATGCTACAGAAAATGGATAGATGAATTGGGATCATTTAAGGAAAATAAAGTATTAATGAATCAATTAATTGTAACAGTGGAAGGGCTCTTAAAGTGTTCTCAACTCCTGTTTTAATGCGAGTGCTTTATTAACCAGAACACTGCTGCCTGCAGGAGCCGTGGCATAGCGGAAGTCTCATTGCATGCGCTGTTGCTCCACTTCCATATTTTGGTCTGCAGCAGCCTCAGACCTGCAACCCCCTGCTGTCCTCAAGTGTTCCGAAAAGTCTTTATGGATTAAACAACGACCCATCCAAAAGTTTTTACGGCCTATGATAGGAGTGCATTTAAGTTACAATCTACGCTAATGCACCCAATTGGGCTAATTATTGGGCTCCAACTGTTTGTACCACTGCCAAAAAGCTCCACGTTTGCTCCCAATCTGTCCAAGCCAAGTTTCAAGGGTACATAAAGCAAAAAGCGGTAGACCTGAACGGTGTAAAGTCTGAACCGCTATTGTGTATGACATAAGCAGAGACCTGATCAAATCTTGCAAGATCGCAGCGCGCTTTAAAGGATTCATTCTGGGTGTGTTTTGCTTTTTCATTGGCTTCATGTGGCTTTTGTGCAATACTTATTCAGCAAGCTGAACCTATGTCTGGCAAGACTTCAGCAGATCTCACAAGACTTCAGCTCTGATCCAAAATATGGAAATTGGTATGGCTGCTGGCAAAATGCCAGGCCACTTTCAATCATTGTCGAGATGCTCTTGATTAGGCACCGATCCCCAAATCACGGAGTTTCTTTCCTTTTCTGGATTCCTCCACCTTGTGGCTGACATTGTTCATGTGTAGGTTCCATGTGTTGATGGAAAAAATATGGGGTTAATTAAGTTTTCCCCGAGGTGAAAAATGAAGACGAGATACACACAAACCAATTTTGACATCTTAACAGATTTGTTCTAAATGAAGGGAAAATAGCCGCGTGTGCTCACTGCTCTCGTGTTGTGCGGTGTACTCAAGCACACCGCACACATATAAACCAAAAAATAAAAGGAGGAGGCGTTGTGGGAGAAGAAATAGACAAACGACTAACTGTTAGCTTGTCTGGTAACTATATTGCAATCGAGATATCCACAAAGCAGGCCTTTGCTGATTGTGCGGGTGTGTAATTAAAATAAGACATTTGCAAACATCGGCTTTTTCGTTGGAAAACAATGATCAACATTTGCCCCTATTATTTTTCTTCTTGTTGACCAAACCTGTAATTGAAGCATAATCAATATATGCTTAAGCATTTTCAGAACTGTCAGTTTGAAATAATGTCCTGTTTCAGAATAAACGGATCAGATTAAAAAATTAAAAAAATAAATCTGACTTCTCGATTAATCGACCAAATAATCGACAGATTAATTGTGAAGAACAATCATTAGTAGCAGTTCAAGTATTGTCTTGGGGAGGAGTCGTCCGCGTCAAGATGGATACAGCTGAACTTCACGGTGTCATCATTCGATCGAAAACTAGTTGTAACTAAATCAACGGTGCTTCACTTTCCAATCATCAACAATCAATTCCACACTACCCATTTAATTCCTCATCCATTCTTACACCAACTCACGCGACGCTTATTTTGGAGACGATGATTGCCCCACTCGAGTAGTCGCATAAATTTGTGACAAAACATGATGACAAATACTCTCGCAGATATTTGATCTTTTCCATCCCTGCTTTCCCTTCACATCAACCACAGTTGTCCCATCGCATTAATGTGCGCCTTTTTCAGGGCATAAGAAGAGATTTAAAGGACTTCTGAGAACAAGCCATTTATTTGGTCGCTCCGTTTGACCTGCTGGTGCCAACTGGCTGTGATTTCTGGGGGCTACAGACACTGCTAGTGAAGCCACAGCCCGGCTCCTGGGATTAATGACTCCTCACACGTTGAGAGATGTTTACCACTTGCCTGCGACCACTCCGCTAAGAGCACTGTCACTGAAACAATAACGCAGTCTGAAAAGCACTCATAACTCAGAGCTCCTTCGCCTGTGTCTTTTAACCAGAGCCTTAATCAACGTTTATGACATCCTTTTGTCTCTTTATTGCCAATATATTACCCAACCAGTCCAAACATTATGTTCTCAGAGAAGCAGACTATTAAGGCTGGAAAGCACAGATGCAGTTTGGGTCAGTGACCCACACTAAAGCCGATTTGATCTATATTATACTAAACCTTTTATGATTATGCCTTTGTGCAACACTTATGAGGGAGTTCACCTTGGAAGGTATTGAAAGTGTTGCATGGATGGCGAAAGGTGCGGGGGTCTATATAGGCATGAAAAATCTAAAGTAGCTCTTTCTAGATAATTGGATATTTTTTGCTCTGCTTCGATCGGCGCAGCGCATGGAAAAATGTCAGCGTTGCATGCCTGCTACGATGCAAAATGCCATTCTCTGTATCATGCCACAGCAAGACACAAACGGTATGAAGGCAAGCGTATTACCCAACTTGACATGCCCTTTATTTTCCTTGATTTATTTACATTCATACTTTCTTTTGTTTCTTGATTCAATGAAAATTGTATTCCACCTCAATACACGAAATGCCTCACTTGCTGTAATGCCACGCCTTCGGATATTGCCATTTTTTTACAGTACAGTATTGATGGTTTGTATGGTTGTGACGTGATAGTGGTGATTAAGTCGGCAAAGTGCCCACTGAAGGCCCAGGTACCAAATGTACACAACCAACAATGCTGCGCTATACCCACAAAACAACCACAAATCTCCATGACACGTCTGTCAAGCATTTTCAAAGGTGAGTAATTTTACTTTGTTTTAGTCTTATTTTAGAATTGTTAACTTCTCTTTATAAAGTAATACCTGTTCGGAATGTTATTCTTTAAAACATTGCCTGTACGGTTAAGATAGGCGCATGCCGCTGCCTTTCATGTGGACTGTGTGGGTTGGATTCCCAGCCAAACGATTCCCATCAGGCTTATAAACTGTGCCAAACAAATCATCCGACTGAGTTGCTGTGGTGCTAAAAGTCCTAACAACAACATTACGATTTCGCAAGGGGGAAATGGTGTCAAAATTAGAGCATACTGGAAATCAGCCATTGTTATGGATTGGATTGTGTTCAGTTGAGAAGTTTCCACTGTAAGTGCAGCGCGAGTATTCCCCTCCACTAAGACTAATATGAGATGAAATTATGTATATTGGTGAAACACAGTAGTGCGGCCTGTGTCAACGTATCCCTTGATTGTTGCTCGAAACAAAGACTTTTGTATCATTTTTTGCTTCCCTAAGTGGGGAAAAAAAGCTTGTAACATGGCAGATTAACAGTTGAGTCTATACACACATGAACGCTGACCCTAATTCAACAAAATGTATGGGCTGGGAAGCTCCCATAGATAACCCCGGTGACATTCCAGCTCCCAAACAGTCCAGCCCGTAACATTTACATTAGGTGGCTGGAGAATAGGGTTGCCTGTCTGATGCTTCTGTGGATTTAGGGCGTAGAATAATGTCTGTGTGCTTACCATCGATCCAAGGCTGAGGACTCTGTTGACATCTGAATCGAGGCTGCTGTTTGTGTTCTGTCAAATGAAGGAGTGTGGGACCACACCGAAAAGGAAAAAACAAGTGAAGTAGCGAGGAGGAAAAAAAGTTGTGAGGTTATTCGTAACATTATGGCAAAACTAGCTGTCATATTATGAGTCTGAAGTTGCAACATTATGGGAAATAGGTTGTAATAGAACAAGTATATAAAGTACTTTTGTGGTCTATATTTACAAGCTCCCTAATAGCCCTCTTGGTGAAATATTTATATTTATTTCTTGTGATTAACATGTTTATATGATGATGTTGCTTGAATGTGACTGTAATAAATTAGAAATTCGATTCATGACATTTACATCATTCGATAAGCCAGTATTTTCCTTCTTTGTGTCCAAACAAATATTGTGATATACTCTCTGTGATTTATCACTAGCTGCAATAATTTGATTGTGACAAAATGGCAGTTAGGCACACTATTGTTATCTTCGGTCTTGTGACAATATATTACATTGAGTGATTCCCTGATCACTACCCATAATTGAAACGCATGACAAAATATAACAGAGCAAATTATTTCTCGATGGCAACGACTATGAAGTATAATGTGGCTCCCGCCTGTTTAAATAAACAACTCGGTAAATTTTGATTGCTAACAAAGACACATAAATCCATTATATCATCCATGTTAACGATCAAAGCTAAAACACAATGATTAGCTGTATTTCTCATTAGTAGCCTCGATAAATAAAGGATAACAAAAGCGCAAAAAGCCATCACTGTATGTACCCATACACCCATATTCTATTGTGCTTGTCCTCATCAGGGACGCGGGTCAGCTGGATCCCAGGTGTTTTGGGAATGTGTGTGTGTGTGTGTGTGTGTGTGTGTGTGTGTGTGTGTGTGTGTGTGTGTGTGTGTGTGTGTGTGTGTGTGTGTGTGTGTGTGTG